ACTTGAGACTCAGAATAAGAACTTAAAACACACGTACTTCAAAAGGAAAAAATAACTTACAAACTTACCAAATTACGTGATTCAAATCTTATTTATTGCAACAACTTAAACTATTATGACACTTTGAATTGCACAAGAGGCTCTTGCTTTTACAACATCATTTATTTGTGGAACACTTCCTTTTGGAATGGCAGAGTGTACATATTCTTCTCTCTTTTCGACCTACACCAGAGCATATCTGTGACTGTCGACATACACCGGTGAGGGTCTGAATGTACAAGAATGTAAAGAAATATTTTATCTTTCACCGACGTATTTGGTGAATGTTGACACTATCCGGTGAAAGTCGACATTCTCCAATTTCGGTCTTTCACGGTAACATATATATATAGTATATATGTCAGTTTATATATATGTAAATCAAATTTCTAAACTTAATTTGCAATAGTTGCTTAAATTTCTATTTTAATATGAATATTTTCCCTTTCTGTTCTAAAAAAGTACATGTTTATAATAAATCTCACTAAACTATATCATTTCTAAATTAATCCACGTCATATAATTCATACATAACATTAATGGTATGGGCTTTTACATAGAGGCTTCTCCTAATAATAATTTTAAAAGCTTAAATATTAATCAATCAAATAAAGTAAATAAAAACTAACTCATTCTGAACTAAAATTCAAATCCCTTCAAGTCCAAGTTTCCTCTCAGACATGTCACATTTGCTTTCTGCTTCTTCTGCAACTAGACTCACTGCTGCTGTTCTTCAAAAATGTAAAAAGTAAAAGAGGTGTGCTGACTGCAGGTCTTTATCTGTGTTGGTTGTGTGTTTTTTGTCAATGAGAATAAAAATGAATATTTAAATCGGTCGTGACTGCAAGCCTCTTCTTCATGCATTTCCATGACATCAACATCCAAAATATTTCACGTATATAATACTTTTAATTTTAATTTAGTGAGAACTGTTTAAAATTGACTGTTACATAAAAAAGTTACATTCCACAATTTCTATTGAATATACTAGTGCTAACAGCATTAATTATGATAATGGAATCAGCGAATTTGCTGAACCTAAAAAAAAAGCATTTAAAATTATGGATATTTATAAATACTTGTGATTTTATACAATTTTTCCATTGCCGGAATTATTTATAAATGATTTTATATTGTATTTATCTTTTTATTACTAAATTCCCATTCAGTGGCCAATTAAAATCTTGCACAGAGCATATATAACTATGCAAGAACAATAGAAATTTATGCTTAAGTCTTATTTTATAGATATTTTCATAATGAATTTCCTTATTTTTTCATGCTGAATGAGTCCTTTGTAATCAAAATGTGCAATCAGCATCACATTAGTCTTTGTTTTCATTGTCCAATTTGTTTTTTTTTTTTTTTTCTTTTTGTATGAGAGAAAACTGTTCTTTTCATTTTGCGCTTTTGTTTTTTGGTCATAATGTAGACACTAGGTCTCATCTCTATGATAAACTGTCCTGTCTTGCACTAGTCAGCAAATCTTCACAGCCAGTTTCACTGTCTTCATTTTGCTGTTTTGTCAAAATCCAAGGCAGAAATCAAGCACAAACTTTGTTCATTTTTCAAATTTTAAGTTAAAATTAACCGACAGCTTTCTTTGCTTATCTCAAGCATGTCTGCTGAATTGTTACACATCTATCAGCTTTTACCAAAGAATGAATTTTCTCTACATTTTCCTCATTCTTTGAAGTTGCAGAGCACCCTATCTTTGGTTTATCTCCAAAACTTTCACGCTTACATTTAAAGCAATTGTACCAATTATATACTTTTGTGCTTCATAATAATGCATCACCATTTCTGTTCGAATTATCTCTAATGTTTCAGCAACAGATTTACCTAATTTGTAACAAAATTTAATGTTATAACGTTGTTCCATTTCAAAGCAAATTTTTTTGTACAATTTTATCTCAGCAACTAAAAATTATTCTGGCGTTTTGATATGCAGATGACAAAACTAGCAGTTTAAACTCTCTTTAACAAGAGATATCACTCTTTCTAAACATACATTTATTCTTTCATGTTTTTTTATTTTATCACTTGTTGTTCTTGTATTTGGTCTTTTAACTTATTGCTTTATGTGTGCACCTTGTATTTTGTTCAAAATAAACATGCTTGCTAAGAAAAGTACACACTCTGAAGCAAATAAAACAAAATTATACTATAATTAGAAGCAAGAGAAATTTATTTTACCTCTGCATAGGTCATATATGTTTTTAGGAAATCTGTAGACTGACCAGGCACCTAAAATATTATACAGAAAATTATCTCATAAAATTAAAAAAAAAAAAAAAAAAAAAAAAAAAAAAAAACATTTTTAAATATTATTTCTACAACTGTTAATTCAATAACAGTTAAAAGTTTCATCATGGAATTATAAAGAAATATGCAAATCAATAAAGTTTTAATGATTTTCAACACAAATTAGTTTCTGTTTATTTTTCTAATAAGCAATATACTTTGGTAATAAATTAACATGACAAGTCCATGTAATTGATTAGGCAGTTATAGAGTAACATAATACAATGATATGCAAATAATAATACATAATTTAAATAAATTTTCAAAAACTGTTAATTCAATTATTCTGTTTTATAAGAATTTCTTTTAATAATAATATAGAGAGACATATTTTATTAGACATAACTTAAAAATTGTTTCTTATCTAATTATTTAAATATTTCGAAATGATTCCATACAATTCCATACAAATCTTTCTCACTTTTGAAAACTTTGTCAGTTTTCAGAATTTTATGTTATTTATTAGTATTGATTGTAATTGTATACATCCAACTTGAAAAGAACACCCAGGCTAGAATTGCATTTATTATAACATGTGTACTATATATGTTGAAGAAAGGAAGTCTACATTTTCAGAAGCTGTTGCATAAATATAACATAAAATGCATTTAAATTATAAAATATAATAACATTTTACAGAAATATAAAATACTTAATACTCACTGTTCCAGCAGTGTCATAAAATCTGAGCTTTTCTTTCAAACCTCTATCAGTATTCACAAGAGCACAATAAATATCTTCAATAGTTGGATACTAAATAAAAATATCAGAAATAGATAAGGTACATATCTTAATTATGCAGATACGAGCTGTGCATATTAAAGTAAATAAACTACTTATCACACCTTAAAGAACAATTATCTCATCATATGCAATACTACATTTTTTAAATATAATAATACAATTTATATAATAAATATAACTCAGGACTTTCCATTCACATATTCCAAAAGCAAACATATCTTATAGTCACAGACTAATGTTTAAAAATATTAATCTATTTTATAATAATATTCCTTAATTTGGTACTTTTCTGTTACCAGGATCAAATTCGGACATCATCAACGATTTGGTAAAAAATTTGAAGTATAAAAATAATCATGAAAATATTTACAATATGGATAAATTGAAGAAAATCCAAGGAAAAAAAATTAGTAGTGAATAATTCCTCATTCTTGCAGATATTGTATCATTGTTTCACCATTAAGTAAATCCCATATATTCATATCTATGCTAAAATTCCAATGAAATTAATTTTACAGAATGTCACCCTGGTTAAGCAATATGACAATTTCAGCAAAATTAACTTCATACGTTGTTAATCTGATAAAGGAAAATAGTGACTTTTTATGAATCTTAGTTAGTTTTAACCACACATTTGGTAGTGAGTGTGGTTCCATTAACAGAAAAGTGTCCTTAATTTTTAAGTTACAAACATGTATGTTTAGCAAAATTTACTAAAAATACTTTTGGCAATGCTAGGGATAACAGACACAGAAGCTTAGGAGTGGTAAAAATAAAATAAAATTATAACTCTTTTTATTCAAAATCTGCATCAAACTAAGGCTGCTTTATTTGCCTAATTTTGAATTTTGTATAGTTATATTTCTTATCTATTTGAATTAAAATATACTCTACATATACACCAGATTCATTATTTTGATGGCTATATTTAAGTAATAAAACCAGGAATTACACAGGGCTTTAAAAATAATAAACATTTGAAAATAGCACATCTTTAAAAAAGGTAGCAATGTCAATGTATACCAACAGAGAACTATCCCTAGAACGAATCAGTACTTTCTATCTGATTGATAATAAATAGGAAGACCTTGTTATTCATTCAATATTCATATTCCAAAATAGCATAGAATATCACTAGTTCTGCATTTTGAAAAAGGAAACCACAACTCATACTAAAGTACTTAGACAATAACAGTGTCAAATTTCATCTAAAAACAAATAAAAAATAGTTAGGAACTACAGTCAAAAGTCGTTAATCCGGAATCGGACTTTAAATAAAATAAATATGGACTTTAAATAAAAATTTTAGCAACATACATCAGTTGGGTTTGGTATGTTTAAATTATGGAAAAGCATGGGAGAGATATCTGCCTACGAGAAAATACCTTCAAGGAGGTCTTTTCTGAAGGAACTGGTTTAAATCCACGTTACATATTGGAAATATTCATTAAAACACTCATTATAACTTGCCCATTAGCTTGGCTAACCAAACTACCAGACTTGAGTCACTTTACTGTTTGGCTGCTGAGAGCTGCATTATCAGTTGCAAAGCAGTAAACAACAAATAATATGTTACTGGTTCTTGTTATGAGTTACATGCAAGAAAGCAAGTCTTAATAAAATATGCCAAATTTAGAGTGAATATGTTGGTTTTTTTATGCACTACATGAACACATACATAAAATTTAAAAAAATAAGTTAGAGCAGAATATAATTTATTACTAAAAAAAACTTTTATGTAATCAGATAGTTGCAATTAAGTTTTTTTTAAAATTAGATATATGATTTATTTCTGCGATGAGAATGGATTTTCATCATAGGTTTGGAATTGCTTTAAAATCCTGCAATAAAGATATTAATTGTAAATTGGCTTTTTGATTTTATGCTTTCACAATTTCTTTAGAAACTGCACTGTTAAAAACAGGAATATTTTGGAATTTATAGTACTGAAAGATATTCAAAGACAGATCTAATTTTACTATTTTTTCCATAAATAGATAACTTTGCCAAGAAAAGGATCATTATTACATGATTATTTTACCTCTGTTAGGCTTATATATTGTTTTCTGTGCTAACTTGAATTCAGTACAATCGTATATCACGGTTAACTGTTAATTTTGAATTTCACTTCCATATCTTAATATATTGTTTTCTCTGCTCTAACTGAATTTATGTTATTTTATTCTTTAATTATTTGATATATGCACTAAATACCACGTTTTACGTGGCTTACTTCCATGTGTTTTAATATCTGATCACCGTACGCTGATCGGTGTCAATGAACCGTTGGTGGACTTGGCGAGTAAAACTGCAATGGCGCCAACAGGTTCTTTCTCGAACCACCAATGAATTCTTTGTGGATGAAAACCCAAAAATTGGTATGTTATTTCAGGAAAAGTCTGATTTTGTGTCAAAATACCTATGTTAGAATAATGCTATATAAAAATCTAATATATATCCTAAGTTGCGCTTTTGAGACTTGAAAAGCACAATTTAAATTTTGTCAATTGGCCCGTTAAAATAGGAGATAGAGAACTGCCCCCCCCTTTTTTTTCCCTGGCACAGTGCACATGCCAGATATCTTTTGTCTTTACTCCATCAAAATTCAACAATGTTTTAAAAAGGACCTTTTGCTCATTTTAAAACATATACAGTCAAAAGTCGTTAATCCAAACTCGTCGGGACTTCGGCGATTCCGGATTATCGATTTTTCCGGATTATAGATCATCAGTTTAAATCTGGTAAGATGGCATGCAGAAATTACAAAAATAAAAATATGAAACTGTAATTTATGAAATAAAGAACAATTATGATCTAAAGGATATCAAAATTTACAAAAAGAAAAAGCTTAATATTTATTTGTTTATTTATTAAACATTACTTTCAATGTAAGTTGTTTAAGTTGCTTCATTTCATGTGATAATACTTTCTCTTTAATTCTATTAAACAGACATAAATTCTTGTTTAGTTACAAAGTTTCGCTGTTCAAGTACTATAATTGCTGTGTCGAGGATACCGACTAATTTGTCAATCGAAATTTTTTCGTTTTCAATAACTTCTGTGTCTCTTTCTTTACTATCGGAAGCGAATTATAATGATGAGGAACTTGTTTTAAATCATATCAAAGACGGAGTACATCGAGATGAAATACTACATTTGGTAAGGAATTATAAGCCAAATAAAATAAAAACATCTGCCCTGAAGATAAGGATAGTGCCGACAGATGGACTTCCAATTCATTGCACGCCGCGGCGTTCCCCTCGCCGAGCAGCGTGAAATTGAGAAACAGATTTCGGATTTCGAAACATACTTTCGCTTTAGATCCTTTACATATTAACAAATATATATTGGAAATTCTATTTGATATAATCGAAAGTTTAAGATTACTTTTATAAAATTGCTCTAACAGTCTGCAAAAAATAATAATCCGGATCCAATTCGAAGATTTAGGAACAACGCAATCTGCAACATTAACTGAACTAGATAATTTTAGCTTAGCTTACACCGTCTGTTATATATTAAACGCGCATGCGTAAACGTTTTATGAGCATGCGCACAAGCATATTCGCAGCCGTAAAGATCTTATCCACGCACGTAAACGCCTATGCGGAGAAAGTTTGTAGCTTTGAGGTCCGGATTATGGGTGTCCAAATTAACGACTTTTGACTGTATATTGAATTTTTTTTTAGATTAAAATCTCCCAATATATTTCCTATTTTCTCTAAGTTTAAACCTCATTCTCTTTATGTTTCTAAGTTTTTTTTTTTTTTATTTTTTTTTTTATTTATGAAAATCCAGGTACACGAATATTACTTTATAATTTTAACACTATTGGAACAAAATAAAATACAGTCAAAAGTTGTTAATTTGGGACACCCATAATCCAGAATGATCTATAATCCGAACCTCAAAGCTACAAACTTTCTGCGCATGCGTCTCGCATAGGCGTTAATGCATGCACATAAGACCTTTATGGCTGTGCATATGCATGTGCGCATGCGCATAATATGTTTACGCATGCGCATTTAATGTATAACGGACGGTATAAGCTAAAATTATCTAATTATCTATTTCAGTTAATGTTACAGATTGCGTTGTTCCTTAATCTTCGAATTGGATCTGGCCTATTATTTTTTGCAGACTGTTAGAGCAATTTTATAAAAGTAAGCTTGAACTTTCGATTATGTCAAATTAGAATTTCCGATGCTGGAGCTCCCAAAGGATCTACAAAGCGAAAGTATGTTTCAATGTCCATCAAACAAAAAGCTGAATTGCTGCAAAAAAATGGATAAAGACACATCTTTTGTTTCTCTAACCATTCCGAAATCTGCTTATCAATTTCAGCTGCTCTGCGGGGGGGGGGGGGAAGCCGTGGTACACAATGAATTGGAAGTTGATCTGTCAGCACTATCTTTATCTTCAGAGCAGATGTTTTTATTTTATTTGGCTTATAATTCCTTACTAAATGTAGTATTTCATCTCAATGTACTCCATCTTTGATATGATTTAAATCAAATTCCTCGTCATTATAATTCGCTTCTGATAGTGAAGAAAGTGACACAGAAGTTATTGAAAACGAAAAAATTTCGATTGACAAATTACTTGGTATTCTCGTCACAGCAATTATAGGATTTAAACAGCGGAACTTTGTAACTTAACAAGAAATTTATGTCTGTTTATAGAATTAAAGAGAAAGTATTATCACATAAAACGAAGCAACTTAAACAACTTACATTGAAAGAAATGTTTAATAAAGTAAACAAATAAATATTAAGCTTTTTTTTTTTGTGTAAATTTTGATACCTTTTAGATCATAATTGTTCTTTATTTCATAAATTACGGTTTCATATTTTTAATTTTATAATTTCTGCATGCTATCTTACCAGATTTAAACTGATGATCTATAATCCGGAAAAATCGATAATCCGTAATCGCCGAAGTCCCGACGAGTTTGGATTAACGACTTTTGACTGTATATGTTTTAAAATGAGCAAAAGGTCCTTTTTAAAACATTTTTGAATTTTGATGGAGTAAAGGCAAAAGATATCTGGCATGTGCACTGTGCCAGGGAAAAAAAAAGGGGGGGGCAGTTCTCTATCTCCTATTTTAACGGGCCAATTGACAAAATTTAAATTGTGCTTTTCAAGTCTCAAAAGCGCAACTTAGGATATATATTAGATTTTTATATAGCATTATTCTAACATAGGTATTTTGACACAAAATCAGACTTTTCCTGAAATAACATACCAATTTTTGGGTTTTCATCCACAAAGAATTCATTGGTGGTTCGAGAAAGAACCTGTTGGCGCCATTGCAGTTTTACTCGCCAAGTCCACCAACGGTTCATTGACACCGATCAGCGTACGGTGATCAGATATTAAAACACATGGAAGTAAGCCACGTAAACGTGGTATTTAGTGCATATAATCAAAATAATTAAAGAATAAATAACATAAATTCAGTTAGCAGAGAAAACAATATATTAAGCATATGGAAGTGAAAATTCAAAATTAACCAGTTAACCGTGATATACGATTGTACTGAATTCAAGTTAGCACAGAAAACAATATATAAAGCCTAACAGAGGTAAAATAATCATGTAATAATGATCCTTTTTCTTGGCAAAGTTATCTATTTAATGGAAAAAATAGTAAAATTCAGATCTGTCTTTGAATATCTTTCAGTACTATAAAATTCCAAAATATTCCTGTTTTTAACAGTGCAGTTTCTAAAGAAATTGTGAAAGCATAAAATCAAAAAGCCAATTTTTCAATTAATATCTTTATTGCAGGATTTTAAAGCATTTCCAAACCTATGATTGAAAAGCCATTATCATCGCAGAAATAAATCAATATATCTAATTTAAAAAAACTTAATTGCAACTATCTGATTACATAAAAGTTTTTTTTTTAGTAATAAATTATATTCTGCTCTAACTTAGTTTTTTTAAATTTTATGTATGTGTTCATGTAGTGCATAAAAAAACCAACATATTCACTCTAAATTTGGCATATTTTTATTAAGACTTGCTTTCTTGCATGTAACTCATAACAAGAACCAAGTAACATATTATTTGTTGTTTACTGATTTGCAACTGATAATGCAGCTCATCAGCAGCCAAACAGTAAAGTGACTCAAGTCTGGTAGTTTGGTTAGCCAAGCTAATGGGCAAGTTATATGATTGTTTTAATGATATTTCCAATATGTAACGTGGATTTAAACCAGTTCCCTTCAGAAAGACCTCCTTGAAGGTATCTTTTCTCGTAGGCAGATATCTCTCCCATGCTTTTCCATAATTTAAACATACCAAACCCAACTGATGTATGTTGCTAAAATTTTTATTTAAAGTCCATATTTAATAACATTACAAAAATTGCAAATATGGTCCAAGTTAGATTATTTTAAATGTAATATTTATATTAATTACACTAGTTGCACATATTTATTATATGAATGTTTTAAATGTCTATTTTATCATTAATTATTATAAAATATTTATAGACAACATTTCTTTTGATTGTACTGTTCAATTTATCTTTGACTTTAATTTCATTTTTAAATTTTCACACCATAATTTTATCAAAGTCTTCTGAAATTTAGTCACAATTTCACTCAATGAAATCTGACAGTGTAGTTCACAGATGCAACGTAAAAACTATGTCAAATATCAGTCACTAAGGATGTATGGATTAGGTTTTTCATGCCGTCTGTTTTGTTTATTTCATAAAAATAGCGTGAAAATACAAAAAAATAATAATAAATAAGTGGAGAATAATTTAAATTGGCAATTGTGAACAACGACAGTCATAATTCAACAAAATGAAAGTAAGAGGAATGGTTGCAACTTTCGAACAAGCGTATAGGTTGAATCCGCTGGGTTACCAGGTTTGAACTATTATCGCTAAAGTTGGTGATGTTTACATTTACCGGGTTCTCTTTGGAAGTGCTTCCCAATTTTTTTCCATATTTCGATTTTACGACTCAAATTATGTCATTAAGTCATTTTTAGAAAGTGACACGTTTTGTAAAAATCCCACGAGTAGTTTTTAAACAATTAGCTCTCAAAAATTTAGCTCCACAATGTTAAATGAATTTGATTTATATTTATTAATCTCTCTCTTTTTATTATACTTATTTGATTCTTCCTCTCATATTTCAAAATTTAGGTTCATTCCAAATAAAATTTGCCCCTTCTTTATGATTTAATTTTTAATAACCTTTATAAACATTTTGAATTATAACCTATAAAATTTTTACCATCATTATAAAATAGATGTATTTCTAAGCATATCTGCAAAAAATTATGATTCTTTATTCAAAATTTTCAAAGATATACATGAATTTATATATTAGCACATTTTGAAATCTGGTATATTTGTTGAAAGCATTAATAACATGAAATGTGGTTTAGGCACTTTGTTAAAACTATTTGAAAGCAGGAATGCTGTGACTCTTTTTCTGCTCAAGCACAATGTTAAAAAAAAAAAAAAAGGAAAAGAAAATAGGTTGCCATATATTAAGAAGTTTGCCAAGTTTTTGAATATCTCTGCAAATTTTGAACCAAATTTTACAAAAGGTAACATTTAGGCATAATTTGAGTCATAAATTCAAAATATGGATAAAAAATGAGCATGTCATTTCGGTAAAAGTTAGATTTTTCTGTCCAATTACCTATATTGGAACAATGATATATATAAATGTAATACATACCCTAAGTCGTGCTTTCAAGACACGAAAAACGCAATTTGAATTTCGTCAATTGGCCCAGGGAAATATAGAACTGTCTCTTTTTTTTTGCAGTGTACCTCTATGCCATCTTACATATAAGGCTGCCTTATATCTGGACTAATATGACATATAATATAGTTATCATAAAATAATTTGCTTCTAAAGATTAGACCCTACACAGTTTGTTTCATAAAATGTGCTACCTTTTATCCAAAATTCAAAGTTTATAAATTGCTAAACTTAAATTTAGCATATCTTAATCTGTTTTCATATTATTACAAACTCTCAGATTGTACTTTTATGGTAATCAAACAGTTGGCACCCAGTCTTCTGTTTGGAAATAGTCCCTGTAATAAAGTTTTTACTGAATGCAATAAAAAGTGTTAAAGTGTTTAATATAATGCTAAAATTTTGAATCCCTTTATTATTCTCTCTCCTAGTGTCTATTAATATCTTTCGCAAATGGCTTGTTACAAACGCTTCTGAAAAATGACACTTTTTAATGGATGTAGGCAATTTCTTAAATAACTAATTGATTTTCCCACTTGTACTGGGATAAATTTATAATAAATAAAATTTTATATACGTAACAACATACAGCATTACAAGGAAAATTTCCATATATAAGTTGTTCTAAAATTGATGTCTTCCCACTGCTCCTATAACCGCAAATTAAGACTTTGCTTGTTTTTCCCGGTACAGAGGACCGCAACATTTCTACTGCAATACGTAGCTTTAAAAATAAATAAAGACGAAAGAAAAAAAGCACAAATCAACACTGCAACAGACGAAATCTCATTTTGCACATGCTAGGTCTTTTTACCATCAGGGCGTGTGAATCAAGAGAAAGAAAACCCGCTTGGTTCAGATTCAAATCTTATCATTAAATTATATCTCATTTATCAACTAAATTTGACTATTTATCTCTTGTACTCAATCAGATTTAGTTGATAAAGCCAAAGTTTTAAGTTTTGATTCAGGTAGCATTATTCAAAGAGTGTATATTTTCCATGGCATGACGTGTTTCGAGCATGGAGGTATAAAGTAAGATGGAGTCGCCCTAAACAAGTTTCCGTACCCTGCTCTGAAGCACCGGCGATCCCTACGTGGTGACCAAAACATTGGGTCATTTACCATTGGGGTCCAAGGGGTTTGACGCGTTTGGGTGTAAATATTTTGTAATTACGTGGCAAATATACATATAAATGTATATATTTTCTTTTTCTACAACACTTCAGAGTCCTAAGTATGTGAAAACAACATATTTTTAAACAACATTTCATTCTGAACGGAATTAAATGCTATACTTTTCACAGGACAGTTTTCTCAGAATGGTTTAATTTGAATGAAATATTTTCACAAGTTTTCGTTAATTACATTAGAAAACAAAATTAAGGTAATTCGATTTTATTCGGTTAAGGTACAAAAATTAAGATCAAAGTTTATTGCATTATTAATATTAAAATTATGCATTATTTCTTTTCTATTTATAGAGCTTCTTCCTAAAATACTTTCTTAAATATGACATGATTTTTTGGCTTCTTTTAAATCGAAAAATGTAAGTCAATTTATAATTAATGATCTATTCGGTTCATTTTAAATTAGAGAATTATTAGGAATTAGCGAAATACTTTAAATAAGTATTTCGCTAATTCCTAATAATTAAATAGGTTTTAAATAGTATTTGACTTTCTCTGAACATTTCTGAAAGGGAATAAAATAAGTTTTTTTTTAAGTATTATTTAAAACTTGTAACTGAGTTATTATAAAATGTAAAGGGAATAATTCTTTTAATTATACTTATCAGATTTTTTTTTTTACCCTTCATTTCAACAATACATATTCTAAAACTCTTTATTACGCTCTTAAGTGCGCATCTCATAGCATTTGCTTTACAATACCTTTTAACAGATTGCTTTCCAATGCGAACAATTCTTGCTTAAATAGTTTTATAACGTATTTGTCAACAGGATTTCAATTTATGTTTACAATTCAATATTAAGGTTATTATATATTTAGATAACATTTATAATCATTATAAATTAGATACATTTAATCATTAGATTTCTTCACAGTACTTCCACAGTTGTTTATAAGTGAATAAATTCTTCATTTCAAATACATTTATAAATAATTTAATGAATATTTAAGTATTTTGTCAAAGGCAGATACATGCTTTTTGCAAGCACATGCATAAATACCCATACATATTTCCTATTTATCATTTCCGGCATGTGCAAATCTTTCATTTCTGTGCATTTTTTCGTGCATATTTTTTTTAAATATTTTTCGTGTAAAGTAATTTACACTAATTTAGCATACTTCCGAAAGTTTTACATAAAAAATATATATGAATATAATTTGAATGAAAATTATAAGTATTATTTTAAATACCCACTCAAAGGTCAGTTTTCTTCAAAATTCCTCCACGATGGCATCTCTCTCTTTAGGCAGATAGCCCTTGCATGCGTTACTCTATTTAATAAAAACTTAATCTGACCTATGTGCCTAATTAAAAATATTTTAACATACATAATTTTATATTTACATTTAGCCATCAAGTTTCAAACTTTTCAAATCTTCTAGAAAATAAATTTTGGCAGATCTCTTTTAGCAATTTTCTTAAAATCTATATTTTTTTTAGTGCAACAGCTTAGAATTTTATAAAACAAATTCATAATCAAAATCGCTGTTGTTAGTTATCGAAAAATAACCAAGATGTGATTTTTGCGTAAATGTCAGTAAACTATACAAATTGCTATTATCCATTACACTATGAATGCTTCTTTCACGCGAGAGTGTCCCTTTTTCGATTTCTATGGAACTGTCGTGTGTCGAAATACTATCAGAATCTTGTCAAGCGAGCTTCTGAATGTAAACAAAGAACACCCCGTCTGGTGACCCAAGCTTCAAAGCAGTGCTTCACTTATAGCGCGGAATGGCTTCTCCTCCCTTTCCTACCTCCATGGTTTCGAGTGATAATAATTTGGGGAAAGAAGATCAGTTTAGATACTATGTTGGTGCAATGGAATTATATAGTTGTGGCTATCGGAAAAGAGGTTACTCAAAGAGGTATTAGACCTTTCCTTGATATAGCCAAAGCTTGCGATTGGGTCTGGGTGGACAGCCTCATTCCCAAGTCACTCATCCTGGCGACATCACAAACTTCATTAATAATCCGGCAATTGAATTTAATAGGTAGTAATTTTATTATTCGCATTTCAAACCGCCGTGCTAGCCGGTGTGCTCCAAGACTCCTTACTCGGGCTTACTGTATTTAACTTATATATGAAGACACCCCAGCACTTTGTGTTGATTATACTGCGATCCTCTCACAAAATGGTCTTCTTTGTCCAGCATTATAAGCACTGCAAACGCGCATGTATACACTTGTGAGCTAGGAAATTGAAATTAATGTGAGCAAATCCATAGCACTTATCTTCACCAAGTAAAAATCAACGGCAGTCTTAGCGTGTAGGAAAATCACACTGCTTTGGGCTAGGCGAATCACTTATCTCGAAGGGATTTCCGCCGTAACCTTTCACGGTCGTTACATATGCAAGTTCCCTATACATATGCATCTGAAACTGCATAGGAACTGCTCATAACAATGGAGAAGGAAACATTTACGTTTTTATGCGTTGGATTATGTTTGTGGGGTAGTAAAATTCTTGGATTCTCTTCTTTAATCATTATATTTTGCTCTTTAAATTATAAAATATAATTTACGGATTTCATGGTTAAAGGTTAGTAGTGCTTTTTATGAATGATTAATCTGAAGACGTTCTTTTTCAGTTCCCCTCCTCACAAAAGTATCATATTACTAGTATTAAGGTAGAAGTGATCTGGCAACCACGATGAAAGAAAACAGCAACGTGGTTAGCTAGAAGCCATTATTATTGCGCTTGATTGCGTGCTGGGAGGTGCACCTATGCGATGGCAAGAGTGTCCATCCAAACAGAAGTTAAAAGAAATAAAGCTACAATCCATTAAAGCTTAGTGTTTGTGTTTCATGAGTACCTTTTCTTCTCGAACATATTGTGGTCCGTCGAGCCGGAGGAAGATTAGTGCCTATGGATAAAGTGCTGGTTAAAAAGCTTAAAGGTGAAGTATTAAATTGATAAAAAAAGTGTGATATGTTACTTCGCATTCGACAAGATAATTAAAAATTAGTGTGTGTTTGGATTTGCAAATTTCGGGTTCATTTGGATTACCTCAAACGGAGGTAAGTGAATTTTCTCATATATGTTTCGGTATTATTAATTAACGTAATTATGGAAGCATTTTTAATTAAGAAAAGAATTTTAAAGTCAAATATAACGAAAGCAACTTCAGATTTCGAAAAATATACTTGTGATGAATTTCAGTTACAACTTTTTGAAAATAAATGTGCAAAATTTAATAATGAATGTTCAGAGATTTTTGATAAATTATTTGTAGTAGTAGATGAAAAGAGTTTGACAATATGTAACTGAACATCAAACTGTTCAGGACAGCATTGATACTTTGTGGGTTAAGGTTAAACGGCAAATGTCAAAATTTAGTGCTAAAGATGCAAACAATGTAAAGATTGAAAATACCAGCTCACAAGGTATGAAATTACCTAAATTAAACTTGCCGTCTTTTAGTGGAAATATTCAAGATTGGTTAAGCTTTCGAGATCTTTTCATTTCAAGCATTCATAATAATAATGTATTATCGGATTCCCAAAAGCTCTCGTATTTGAAGTTATCGCTTCATGGCGAAGCAGCTAGGATTATTCAATCAGTCAAAATTTGTGACAATAACTATAAAATTGCTTGGGATTTTTTAGAAGAGAGATACTCCAATAAACGTGATCAGGTTTTCGCCCAAATAAAGCGATTCATGTCACTTTCTCCCATACAAAATGAAAGCCCGTCTTCTATTTTAAAATTAGTAGACACAGTGAATGAAAGTATAAGGTCTTTGGAAATATTAGACCAAAAAATAGAGGGATTCGCAGAAACATTTCTTGCATACATTTTGCTGCAAAAATTGGATGTTTCCACTCGCCTTTGGTGGGAAAGAGATTCAAAAACAAATGAGTTACCTAAATTATCTGAGCTTATTACATTTCTAAAAAATCATGCTAGAACTTTGCAGTCGTCAAAGTCATCTAATGTGTTTAATGCAAAAAAAAGGGTCAACCTATTCAAAAGGTGACTGCCTTAGTGTCAAATGTTAAAGGTCAAGATTTTAAATGTGTGTTGTTTGTAAAAATAAATTTTCACAAGTTGTATAATGTAATTTGTCTTTCTTGAAAATGACTGTAAGTGAACGTCTTGAATTTGTTAAAAACATAAATTATGCTTTAATTGCTTGGGTTTGAATCCGACTCATTCTGCAAAGAACTGTCGTTCAGAATTCAGCTGTACAAAATGCATGAAAAAACACCATAGTTTACTGCATTTTCCCAATCAAGACATTTCGCATTCATCATGCTACTATAGCGAGTTGTGTGGGGAAGGGAGGAAGCACCGGCTAATAATTCTGACCCTCCCTTCAGTAGACAACTCGAGAGCTGAATGCTGACGCCAGATGTTTTGAAATGTTATCTAATCTGCAACCAAATAAACAATTCGGAATTTATTGGTTTCGTCTGTAACTGCTTCACAAGTGATTTCGAAGGAGGTATTACTATCTACTGCTACTATTTATGTTAAAGATTCTTTGCGGGAATTTTATTGCTTGTCGAGCTTTACTTGACTGCGGAAGTCAGTGTTCGTGTTTCACCTATGATTTCGCTAATAGACTTGAATAAAAGGGAGTAAAATTAACATA